TGACATCGAGTGTCACTCTTTCTTCTCGATAAGATCGCGAGAATCCTATGTTTCCCGATTTTCCTTCTTCTCTCTTTCCCACTCGATCGAAGAGGGTTGCTTTCTGGGCCAGAGAAGAGAGAGAACGAAGATTCCTCCCCTAGCTAATGGCTTTAAGAGAAGCACGGCTCGATGCAACGTAGATTGTTAGGTTCCTCTTTATAGCTCGCCCGACGCGGATAATTCAGCAGCGTGGAAAGGAAAGAAGGTTTCGAAATAAAATTTCGAGCGAAACTGGGACGAGACGGTGGTGCAAAGGTAGCGAACAAGGGAAATTTCTTACGTACTTGAACCGAGCGATCCTCCCCCAAACCGTACACCGTTGACCGTCCACGATACTCGAAATACTTGGCAAGTTGATAAGAACTCACGGATACAACTTTAGAGCATCGCCTCGAAACATTCCACGAGCGCGAGACAATTTTCGAAACTCCCGACAAATTTCTCGCCTTCCGCTTTACGCGACTCCACTCATCACGCCTTCCCCTTCTCTCTTCTTTCTTCTTGTGTTCGAGCGAGAATGCAACGAATTATTCCCGCTTTAACCGCCGCCAGCCCTTCTCCCTTTTCCTTCTTGCAAATCCTTCTTCTTCTTCCCGACTCGAGCCGAGCGACGTTCGACTTTTCGATTCGCGTCGAAACGCTGCTTCAATTTTACCGCTAAATTTGAAAGGGTGGAAACATCTTCTCTCTCCCTCTTTCCACGATCGATTCTTTCGCAAAAGATTACGTGGTCGAGGTATTAAAACGCTGTGAGCTGCAGCATTGTCCCGGTAGCTCGATATTTTTCTCGGCTTAAGATAAAACTGCAATGCAACGCCTGTATTCGGCGAAATCCTACTTATCGAAGTAATCAGCGCGAAGCCATTCGAGAGCAGCTAACGGAAAGGTTCTCGTTGCTTTCTTATCTCGACCACTGGTTTCAGAAAGCCAATTGCGAAAAAGGAGAATAGCGAGGAGACGATCGACGCTGTTTTCCTTGTTTCTATTTTATTTTTTCTATTTTATTTTTTCTCGCGACGGAAGATAATCGGCGAAACCATCGAAACCAGGTATTTCTCGACATTCCCCCCTCCCTCGAACATTATCATTCGAGTGACAAATGTAAAAAAAAATAAAAAAAAACGCACGTGATTTTCGCGTCGTTTTCGTATCTTATTTCGCGACACTGTATCCGCGATCCCTCAGAGAAAATGAAACGTGGATTCAAACGCCTGGAACACGACACGTTACGAAGACATAATTTTTCATAGCGGGCTACAAAGTGTAATCGTTATATAATATATATATATATATATATTCTCGTAATTGCGGCAAACTCCGACAATGATTGGTGGAAGCACATTGTTAACGATACATGGGAACGATATTATCCAAAAGATAAAAAAAAAGGAGGGGGGATGATGGATTAAACTCCTCTGTCTGTTCGAATATTCCATATCGGACGTTCGTCGCTACGAATGACGAGAGAGCAGAAGAAATCGAACGGGGGCCGGCTTGTCAGCCAGCTACCATAATTATCATCGCACCTGCATTTATTATCCGTTGGTTGGTTGACTAATGGGCTCTTTTTTTACCCACCGATCCTCCAAGGAAACTCCATCCAACTACGGATAAATCGTCGGTGAAAGGGATGACGAATTATCGAGAATTAATTCAGCGGGGCCAGTGATGCGTCACCTCGACGCAGGGGGAGGGGGATGGAGATCGGGGAGAAAAAATATGGCGAAAGCGAAGTTTAATGGCTCGCGTACAACGGCCATCATCCAGATAATGCGTACGCATAAACGAATGAAAAAAAATGGTTGATTCGGTCGGAAGTAAAGAGAAGAATTTCCTCCGGATAGGAAGAGAAATGACGCTCTCGGTTTTCCCCTTCCTTTTTCTTCCGTTTCCCTTTCCTCTTCTTTTTTTCCCTATGATTTTCTTTTTTTTTTTTTACGAGTTTAAAAATACGAGGTAAAAGTGAACTAGCGCGTGGGAAGAAGGGATTAACGATAATTTACAGGACGAGGGTGATAATGATAATATAGGGATTTCGTTTCGATCGAGAGCGGTGGGAAGGAAAAAGAAAAAAACAGGGAGAAAACGCCTCCCCCTCTTCCTCTCCGTCCAACCATTTCTCTTCCGTCCAATCGACGATAAAGATATAAATGATTCCCCACTAAAAGTTTATTTCATCGGGGGTATACGTTTAAGAATCTTCCTTCCATCCCCCTTAAGCCACTCCCTGACAGCCAACGCTTCTTCTTTATCATTTCCCCCTCCCCTCCCCCTTTTATTATTTCTAATTACGTCCGCGAACCCCGCTTTTAAATAAAAGCAAGGCTCGCCTGCGAGGAGGGCCCGAAAGCCCTTAAGGTGAACATAAATTACCGTTCCCGGTAAAGAACAATTCCCAGAAAATTAATTTAACCGCAATATATTTGCGGCTTAGATTCACCCCTGGGAGCAGCCAAGGGATGGGAGAGGGGGGAGTGGAAACAAGGTTACGTAATATCTGCCACGGTTTGTTTAACTTCTCCCTCCATCCCCCTCCTCCCCGATCGATTCCCCCGGCTTTCTTATTGTCCACGCCACGGAATTACAGCAAGAAAATCGCGCGGAAATAATTACTCCGACTCCGACTCCGCCATTAATGCGAAAGCCTTAGGAGGAAGAACGAAAACGAGTAAACGGGGAGAACTGCCTCTCCCTTCCTAACCCCTCTTCCCCTCCTCCAACTTCCTATCTCGTTCGACGCAAATATTACCCGCCGCTAATCGCGCCATCTCGGCCGTTAAAAGCTTCGCCAACTTTTCCTCCCTAACTTCGGCCAGGTGATCCTTTTAGGTATCCGAAAGACGTGGCCGATTTACGCGCGTAAGAGGAACACTCGTTCCTCGATAATTGACGGGGCATCGAAATTACTTTCGATGAATTTTTTTTTTAGTTCTCGTTTCTTCTCGACGAGATAAAAATCTCGTCGTCTCGGGGGTGAAAATCTTGATCGATCGATTCGAAATATTCGTTGATATAAATAATTCGGGAGTAACATGGAAATATATATGTGGATCCTGTGTGATCTGTTCCATCGAGTGATAAAACGGCGGCACGTGTCGCGCAGGACGTGATTTCATTCGATGATCGTGCTTTATCTGACGCGACGCGATTTCATAAATCCACCCTCGTTCGTTTCGATCGCCGATTCGTTTCACGGGTTGAACATTTCTCCAATTTGTTCGCTCGTCGGATCGAAATAATAATTGCCGCGTTCGCTTGGCGGAACTCTTTGCGGAAATTACTCGTAAACGATCCTCTCTTAATCCAAACCGGCACGCGTGGAATATCTTTTCTCTCGCACATTTTCCCCACGTGGCCTCGTAACCGTGCAATATCTCGGCCAGAAATATGTGTACTCGTTCTCTCCACCGAGGGAGAGGGGCATAAATTCGTGGAGAAGCCGCGTAAACGCGCGATAAACGACGGCATAGCGGAGGTAACGTTGCTCGTTTAATCAAAGAGAGATCGAGGATCCAGCTACGTTCCGTTGGAAAGACGGGGAAAAAGAAGAAGAAAGGAGGGACGACTTTTCTCTCCTTTCTCTCCTTTCGACCGAAAATGAAAAAGTTCTTTCGCCCGGCAACGACGTTTACGATTCCTTCCAATAAAGTCGCGTTCCGAGTCGATTCTCTCGCTCTTTACATTCGGTCCGTTGCACGGCCCGAAGAAATCGAATTACCTCCAACAGCTTTGCCCTCTTTCCGAAACGCACCGAGCCTCCTCCGCACGCTTTTCTCGTTTTCTTTCTTTTCCTTTCTCTTTCTCTTCTTCGAGCAGGTAACGATTCCAGAGATTTCTCAGAAAGTAGACGTGGAAGGTGCAACCTTCGAGAAAAGGACTTGGCGAAACGAGAGTTCGAGCAATGGACCCCGAGATAACTAGATTTCAGCTAACTCGCGTGAAAACACGAGCGTGCTTATTACGATATCGTTTATTAAGTATGCTTAAGAAGACAGTAATGCCAATCCTATAAGAGATTTGGAAAAGAATAACGTTGTTTCATTTTTGTTATTGTATTATAATTAATAAATAGTCGTTTTCTTTTTAATATCATCGCTGAAAGCAGCGACACCTATCTCCAAACACGTTCGTCGATTCGTCTGTCGCGAGGCGTTAATTCCAGGAGAGGACGAGGATATCGCGAGCTTTACAACGTTTTAATCGCTCTCCACCACGAGTCGCGCACGGCGATGTCTCTACAAATATTTGCCGGATCCGCTATGGCGAAAATTAATCGCGCAATTTCACCGATCGTGCAAACAAGCGGGCGCGATCGACATTTTCGAGGCGAAAAGGAATCGAGCCGGCTCGTTAAATATTCATGGGAGCGGCAAGGAATGGATGTCCCTCAGTTTATCCCATTAAATAATGAGATATATAAATTAAATTCGGTGCACGCGTCGTTTCCTCCGTTTCCGATCCAACGCATCCGGATGCGTACATTCCATTCGTCTCTCGAAACCGATCGAGAGAACAGGAAGGAAAAGTGAGACGTACAAAGAACTTTCGATCGATAATAATTACGCGCAAGTCGAATTTAAAGGAGGAAATAACGTAGATTACGAGTTTCCTACGCAATTTCGATCGCTCGTAAAACCGTGGTCGATTATACAATTCCGTATCGATTCTATCCATCGATTTCGACTCATCGGGGACCACCGCTCGGTTCCTTAGAGTTTTATCGGAAACGGCTCGATACGGGACGTGGAACGTTTACAAATGAAATTGAACGGAGAGCGATCCGGTCGCGGTTCGCCGCGTATTATGACGACGATTAAAATATTGGGCCTCGTCGTAAACGACACTGGTGCTTAGCACGGAAGAAAGTACCGATTGCCAATTGCCCCCTATAAAAGTACCTTGTCACGGAGACCCGTTATCCAGTTGTTCTCGGCCTGTACACCCGAAATATCGGCGAAATGGCGACGTTGGTAAGTCTCGAATTCGAATCCACGAGTGGTCAAAGAGGCAATAACGCTGTACATCGTCGACACCAATCAATCGTTTTTCAACTAAGTTGATCAGCGAGTTGATCGTTTGCATTTCAAAGAGAATAACACGAAGATGAGCGCTAGCACTCGGGCGTAAAAGAGAAATTAAAACTCGGGCGGCGCGACAAAGGGACGAAAGTAGCCGTTAAATGAAACGATACGTTGCTCGGTCTAAATCTCTGACTCTCTCTCGAACGAGGCTCGAAACTTATACCCAAAATGCAGCGTTCGAAATTAAATTTACTTTAAAGATAGATTCGACTAAATCGCGACCGCGAATGTAAATGAACGTTTTAACGAATGTAACGTTCGTGTTTGGAATTCGCGTTTATCGGCCGGAAAAATAAAAATCTCTGCACACATTCGTATTCGTCCCCGTCGATGTCGGTCACGCATCGCGCGAAATAAAGAGCAAACCGTTAATTTAAAATTCCTCGCCGCGCAACGATGGGGAGGGGGAAGGAATTCATCGCGTAAATCATCGTCGACGAAATTCATTCGTTGATCGAAAAATGGTGCAAGAAAACGCGCCGCTTCCCGATCGTTCCGTAGCTGACTTCGCTAATTCAACGCGCCCGAACCAAGATTCAATTTCGTAGCCGCGTATCTATCTCTTGGCCGCTGCCTTCAACCTCGCTACCCTTAAACTTCCGCTTCTTCTCGGCCNCAAAGGGGGGAGGGGGGATCTCGCGACAAGAAATGGCGGAGCGGCGATAAAACGAGCCGGCGACGATTTAGTGGATATTATCTCCGGTTTTTCCGCTCGGCCGTGCTCCGCGTTTCGCACGTGCGCCATTGCAAGCCAAAATGGC